TTTTGAAATAACCCCTAAAATTAAAAAAATGTCACTTAACCCCCGGAGTTTGGGGTTTTCAAAAAACAATCCGCATATTTTCGAATTTTCAGCTAACCCCTCTATCTGTGTTTGATAAAATTTGATAAAAATATCAAAATACCATGTTCAAACTAACAGTCTGGTGATTAAATTAACTACAATAAACTGGGGGCTAGAGTAAGAGGGAGGTTTATCTCAATATCGCGCAAAATTCAGATATGTTATATGAAATTACCAGTGAAATTATTAAAAGAATACATGAAAGAGCTTTTTCCATTTAGGACATTTTAGTCATTTGAACGCAAAGTTATTTTCATGTGCACAAGCAGATACAGCAACATTAGCTAGGAGGGTGCTTAACTGCCAAAACTTTGGAGGAGGGTTAAGTGACATTTTCAGAGCTTACGGGCTGATCTCAGAATCGGGATGATTATCAGAAAAGCCCCTTAACTTCCAAATTATCAACAAAAGAAAACCTTTAGTATAGCGATTATGGTAAAACCCCCCTTTAGTTTTAGATTTTATCAAAAAACTCCTTTAACTTTGAGATTTGATTAGAAAACCCTCATAATTTAGGGGGTTCTCTGATAAAATCTCAAAGTTAAAGGGGGTTCTCTGATAACCTTACTCTTAATTTGTCTATATCCTCAAAGTTGGGGGGGTGGGGGGGGGGTGGGGGTGGGGTGTGTGTCTATGATCTTTAGTCCTCAAATCGAGACCGATAGAGGTGGGTTGCTAGTGAAGTTTACCTGTTTAAACTGCAATCACAAAAAAGCAACAATTACAACAGAATCATACAAAAAAAATGCACCTACGTACGTCTTTCTCTACATCCCCCTCTCTCTCCTCTCTCCATGGATCTACCTTCATTTCAGTTCCTCATGTTGTTCCTTACTCTTCAACTAGCACGCTCAAGCCTGCGCAATAACTTCACCGACCTCTTATCGCCTTCAAATCTCATGTCATAGGAACTACCTCCCCACGAATCGCCAACCTCTCATTCTTATATATCTGCTCTTGATCTCGGCGACACCTCACTCACTGGCTCTATACCTCGAGCCCTCAGCGACTCCAAGGCTTAAAACACTTGTTATTGAGAGAAACTCTCTCAGGATCGATCAATCCCTCCAGAGTACTCTTCAACATGTCGTCTTTGACCGGAATCTTTTTATCCGCAAACAATCTATCGGCTTCTCTTCCTTCGAGTCATAGCATTAGTACGTGTCCTCACCTTCGAACTGTTTTTTATCGGGTATAATCAGTTGACAGGCGAAATACCGTCTAGCTTTGCCGGATGTAGGAATCTCCAAAGGCTCTCTTTCTTAACCAATATGCTCGATGGTAGTGTACCAGGTGAGCTTGGCCAGTTGCAAGAGCTCATGCTGCTAGATTTTTTTCGAAAATCAACTTACAGGAAAGATCCCTTCTTCTCTTGGTAATCTTACGAAGCTCGAAGTGTTGTGCGATGCAGAAATTTCGATAGCACCTCCGGTGAGCAAAGTGCACAACAAGAGATTAGATCACAACGAAAATCTTGTTTCACAAAGGAAACAAGAACCGAAAGTAAAATAACTCAACAAAATGAGATATCAGCTCTTCCTCTCATCAGTTCTAGGACTGACTTGTCGAGGGAACCTATAAGCTATACAAATCACGACAAGAACACAAATTTACGTGGTTCGACAAATTACATACGTCCACGGGACAAGGAGGAGGGGGACATCTACTATTAGAGGAAGAGAATACAAATAGGGTTTACAATTACTCAATCTAAACCCTCACACAATCTCTCAAACCTCTCACACAAATATCTCTCTCAAAAACACAAAAGGACTGTTTGCACGAAGCCAAAAAAAGCCGCTGACTTTTTCTCTACACCTCTGTGAATTTCCTCCCTCTGCCTTTGCATGCCGCCCAAAAGAGCGTTGCCGTTTTCCCCCTCTGCACGTCGCCGAAGAAAAAAATCAACTGCGGTTCTCCTTCGCACACCCACCTAGGTTACAGATAACAAGCTATATATATAGCTTGGTGAAATCTGTTCGTGGGCTAGCCTATCTCTTCATGCGATTCGTGGGCTCCGTTTTTTTTCTTCACGCTGAAATCGGTTCACGCGGTTTGCTTCACGTGGGTGGCCTCCACGTTCCACTTCGTTCATAATTCTTCACCTCGGTGAAGTTTTCCCAAAACTAAGCCGACACCAACCAAAATAAATATCTCACTTGTTGCGTCCAGTACGAAATGAAACAATTCACGACAATGGACTCAATCCACAATAAGTCGAGACCCAAACGAGAATACGAACACTCTCCAAACATCGATGTCTACTCACCAAATCAGCTTCATCATAAAATGACTGTCTACGTATCCTCTTGCCTAAGGAATCAAGCCTCACGTAGTTCATCCAAATGACCTCCAAAGATCTCAATCCACTAGAAAAGTTCACAATCCTTCTCTAATATCATCAACACTGCGGCTGATAGCACCTCCAATGGCCCCAAACTGAAACAATCTAAACACCTCCATCTGATATGAACCAATGACCATATCCAGACTACATCTATTAGCTGCACTCGAATCAATCAACCTATCATTTGCATCCAAAACAACATGATTCTCAATCTGTGTCACATCAGTCGGAATTCCAAATGATGCAGTATGATCTGGAGTATGTGGAGTAATCTCCACCTAACGTGGAGTAACATCACTCTCCACCCGCTGTGATGTCTTAATGATCTGGTCACCACTCTCCACCTGCCGAGAGTCAAACATGACATACCTACTTAGAACAAAGTCAGAAGCCAATACTTGATAATCAAACACGCATCTGAATCTCAAATATACTATCGGATCAAATCTCACATCCACGATGTGACCAAGTGCTGAGTAGCCAAACATCTGACATAACCTAAAATCTGAAACAGCTCCACTAGATCTAAAATCTCTACATACAACAGTCGGCAACCTATGCATAAGATGATCCAAACATGTCATAGCCCGCATACTAATGCTAATGCTCAACATCAAACGCTGATCCTCCTCCAATAAGGAAAAGCTCCACAAATCTGTCATCTCGCCTCGTCGTCTCAAAGTTTTCACACAAATGAAGTGTCTCCTATTGCCGTGAGCTCGGCACAAATGCAAGAAAGCACCCCTACCATAATCAGAACGTCGGGTTACCTTTCTACCAACACACTTCCTCCATCTGTTACGGGCTTCTAGGACTTCATACTAACGGGACTTAGTTGTAACCCACTAATGCCTAGAGCAATCCCTAATTGTGGAAACCATATATCTATTATCTCCTAATGATGCTCTCTTGGAAGGCCCCCGAATGCCTGAATGAACACCCCTCAGAAGACCCCTCGAATGATGAATAGAAGTGACAAACTCCACCTCGATCTTCTTGCTCATACCAATGGGTTCACAAGACTTCAAACTGCAGGTCAAAATACTCCTTAACAACCTATGCACGATATTACCAATCAAATAACCCAGCATCAAACAATGCCAGAGTCGAACCAAATCTGATGAAGTCGTCAGCTTCCTATCAATCACTGTGCTTCCGAGCAAATAATATAAATTGCTCTTTCTGACGCCCTTCATCACAATCATAGACCCCAATGTGACCTTCAAGCGTGCATTCACTAAGGTCACCCTATAGCCTGCTGCCTCTAAAGCTCCAAGTGAAATGATGTTCATCTTCAATTGTGGAATGAACCTCACATCATCCAACTCTCGCATCATCCCATCACTCATCCTAATCCGAACAATACCAATACCACCAATAAAGCATGTATATCCATTACCTATGAGTACAACATCCTCTCTTTCCAACTCCTGAAAGCTAGAGAATAAATCCCTCCTAGGGCAAACGTGGTAAGAAGCACCCGAATCCAACATCTACTCCGTAGAGCCGGGATCATAAACTGATGGTAGTGCGGATAACGAATAGCCTGAAGAATTCAAATCTGAATTGTTTTCACTAGTCTTGACAACATTCACCTCTTAAGGTTGTACAGCTTTCCCCTTATTCTTCTCGGTTCGATCTAACTTTGGGCATTCAGCTTTTCAATATCCATCATCTTTACAAAAAACACACTGATTCCTACGAATCCTATGATGTGCACCTCTAGACTACGACCTCCTGCTACGGTTTGAATCATGATCTTGAACTACTAATGCATCTCCCGATGCTTTCTCGGAAGACTCATCAACACTCTTCCTCAACTCATAATTCACCAACGCTGAGGTCACCTCCTTGTAGCTAACAGTAGTTCTTCCATTAATCATAGTGAGAAAAAAGGTATCATAATCATCCTCAGGTAACGAACACAAAAGTAGCATCACCTTGTCTTCATCCTCAACCATGATGTCCACATTGGCCATGTTTGAAAGTAGCTTCGTGAAGTTGTTAACATGCTCCCTGATGGAAACTCCCATCTTCATCTTGAACTGGTATAGCTTCGTGAAGTTGTTAACATGCTCCCTGATGGAAACTCCCATCTTCATCTTGAACTGGTAAAACCTCTTCTTCAAGTGAAGCCGATTCTCAATGCTCTTAGTAAGATACTTTTCATTGGGTGTTTTCCACATCTTCTTCGCCGACGTCTCGTTCATCACATCATAAATAAGATCCGGCGTCAAGCATAACCGAATAACTCCACACGCCCTACTATTTATCTTCTTCCAAACCTTTTCTTTCATATCAGCAGGTTTCTTTTGTAACTCAAGAGTCTCTTCTAAGCTTTAAGCGTCTAACGCATCCATCACATGGCACCTCCACAAACCAAAATTGATCTTGCTATCAAACTTTGGAACATCA